GAGGTCATCTTTCTGTGTTTCCGTGGGGTATATCCACTTTGGTAACAGCTAGGTTGTTTTAGCAGTTGGAGAAAACAGTATAATATAAAATTTTAGAAACTAAAAACTTTTATTACTAAGCAAACTTACCTTTTACTTTAAAAGGAACGAGTTGATGTAACATTTATATGATACAAGAAATGCTTCATTTTGTTACAGAGTTTCAAGGTGCCAATCCTAACCAAAAACGCGGTAATGACCTTGATCAGGCTTAAAAGAATAACTTAGGAATGCACTAATGTAAGATAAACGAGATAATATTTCCATTAATATTTGTATTCAAAAATATAAATCAATTAAATGTTTTTTTTTCATTTGGAGTTTTATTAATTTCTGATTATTATATTTGTTTAGTGCCAAAAAGGACTGAGCGCGCAAAATAACGCCCGCAGACTTATTTTTTAATAGAAGGAAAACATTTGAGATAAATCTAATTCATTTCAAATCAGTAAGAACGTATATATGTGCATTATATACTGTACATTTTTCCGGGCCGCGGGATTTATCATAGTTTTACAAAATATATATTTTTTTAAAATGGCCAAAGAAGTGAAAACCAATATACCTATTAAAAAAACCGATGAGACTATTCACCGGTACCATACCGGTGGCTAAGAAGCTATTTACCGGTATTATACTAGAGGCTAGAGAGAAATTAGTTTAAATAAGTAGATTTAATTACCATATATTTCGGAGTATAAACATCCACTCCTAGTTAAAAATTTAGCATTCAGGTATATCCGTTGTATAAACACCCTTACAATTTTCAGTCGAAGGAATGGAATAAAATTAATCAGAACCGATCAGGGCCAAAAAAAAAATTTATTATAACAAAACTTATAAAATCTCGTATCATGTGGGAAAATAAGAAATTACTGTTTCGGAGTGCAATGTACGAGTAATACTCACTACAAGCAACATTAAGATTTTAGCTTGTCCTAATTATTTTTGCGTCTGTCCTAATTATACAATATAGTTATGGTTCTGTGCAAGATGCTTGGAATGCCACGTTTGCTATCAATTGGTTTTTCTTACAGTATTGAAAATTAATAAATTTGCATAAAAGTATCTTCGAAAATAGTTGCGTAAAAATTTTATGTACGAAGGTATTTAAGTAGAATGTGAAAAATGGCTGTTACTATATTTGTCGAAGGAGGCTTAACTTATTTGTATTTCAAAATATTCACGTTTTACAGGTTCATAAATAAAATACCAGACAGTTTAAAACGTACAGGGTGTACTAATTAAAAATTAAAAATTCATATTTGTCAAACAGCGTAAGAAACTTTGTTCTTACCAGGTGCCTCACTACACCAATCAACTTGCTTAAAAAAGAAAGGCGACAATTTTTTTTCTTTCATGACAAATTTACGATGGTTATTCCACTTTGTACGTCTGCGAAATTTTTATGTGGTAATGGTAACTGGATGGAAATCTTTCCTAATGAGATTGTGTAGTAGTTGTTTTAGAATTGCGTTCTTGTTTTAGAAACCGACGTTATACCGTTCCTTGTGACTCTATTAACAAGTTTGTTATGGAACTTAGAGTACGGAATAATAGTGGGAATTGTAGTAAATATTTTCTTCATCTTGTACAAAAGTGCAAGGCCAAGTATTAAAATAGAAACAAAATTAGTAGGAGATATCAATGTATACCTGGTGGAGCCCACGACGAATTTGCAGTTTCCCTCTGCTGAATTTCTCAAAGAAAGTGTGTTAGCACAGTGCGATGCCTCTATTTCATTTATTATTATCGACGGAAAGAATATGGAATCTATCGATGCAACTGTGGCAAAGGTAAGTTGAGAAGTTGAGGGCCATACGCGTGAACGAAACGTTGACGACACCTAACGAAAATAATAACAATTACCCAGCTTTCACTTCTTTTGCTTTTCAAGATAGTATTTTAAAAATTAAAGCTAAACTGGGACAGAAACAAATTAACATCATAGCGAATACCTACGTTTCTTCTTTGATGTATATCTAATACTTCTTCAGTAAAACAGGCTTAAAACAGGTTTAAAATTTTAATAATTATCCGGTTTCCATTTCTTTCACTTTTAAAGATGCTATTTTAAAAGTCATCAATCAAGGGAAGCTTCTTGAGGTTTCTATTTACGAAAATATTAAATAAAGTTGTAATTAAAACATCTGTTAACACTTTTAAAAATGGAAGCTTTGGTATAAAATTAGTAACAATTATAAAAACTGTAAGCTGTACTTCAACGTTTCCGTTTTGTTACAGAATCTTAAAGCACTCATCGACAATTTAAAAATTAGGAAACAAACTATTATAAAAACTGTAAGCTGTACTTCAACGTTTCCGTTTTGTTACAGAATCTTAAAGCACTCATCGACAATTTAAAAATTAGGAAACAAACTATAATATTTTGGAATTTCCGAGAAAAGGTTGTAAAGGTATGCATTAATTTAGATAAATCAATGGATGGATATTTCTTTCAAGGCTCCCTTAGTAACGTAATAGAGGGTAAGAGTAATTATTTATACTACAAGTTACAATAAAGTATAAAGTATATAAATTTTTAAAAGTGTTATAAAATGTAGTTTACATACGAATGCCCCTAATGAAACACGAACATATGCATATTTTCAAGACAATTTAGTTTTTAAGACTTTAAATGAAGGATTAAAAAATTTTTCAGATAACGTTATAGGTCGGTGACAGCAAGTTTTATTGTTTTATTTTTATTTGAGTAAACACTGATTTGTAAAATTTGAGCTAACGGTTTCATTTATTCGTTTATTTCCACAAACATAGTAAAAACAATGTGTAAACAGGTATGTAGATTAAATTAAATTCGTGTTTTTTTTCAAGAACGCCATATACAGAGTATTTTTTATTCTGCTTTATTTTTATTTTTTTTTAATAGTACCCAAGAGATG